TAATTGGATGGGATGAACACTTTCTTTCTTCTTTTAAGCGAAATAAATACGTTCCACTTTAAAAGATTAAACAATTGAATAATTGAACATTAATCTTTTTTTATCAAACAATACTTCTTTGATGCTTTTAATTATTTTATGTTGAAGTAAAACATATAAAAACTAGAAAAAGAGAGTCAAACATGCTCTTAATATCTCTTAATATGGAGACATATTGCAAGTTCACTCAAATGCTGTCAAATATAAAATTTAAAAAGGGTTTCAAATTATGAGTCAAAACCAATAATTATTACCAAATATATGAAACCCAATATATACATGCTCCTCTAACCAACAATTCTTTGTCAACACATTTATAGTCTTTTTTTTTTTTCCAAATAGGGTAATTTTAAATCTTTATTACTAAAAAAATATATTTTTAAACTTATTTATCAAAATAGATATTTATTGACACATATATATGTCATCAAATGATATGATCCTGTTTCTTGACATCTTGCTTCAAGCTTTTTAGGTAAAACTATTGGTGTGAAGATTAATGGCAAAGGTGTTGTCTGTTGCTTTCGTTAATCGTCCTTACCAAGGAGGAGGCTATTGGTGATGACGATATTACAATATTGTTTTTCATTTTTATTTTTTTTCACCTTTAGATTGAAAAGATGATGAAAATTACTATATTTAGTGAGTTACAAATTCAAATAATGTTAAAGAAAAAACACTACTAGAGATTAAAATTGATTGACAAATTGAAATTATGTGTCATTGTTATTGAGATTTGGTTTGCTTTATATTTTGGTTAAATGAATATAAGATTTTTTATATAATTATTATTTTATCATCTAATTAATAATCGTTGATGTGAAAGTGAAAGAAGCAAATGAACTAAGGCAAGACTCTCTTTCCCACTTTGTTGGGAAAAAGTAGTGATTTTGGCTTTTACTCTTTCAACTATGGATACTATGGAGACATTGGTTTTTAGTTGGAGAAATTTTGAGGTTTTCATTGTTTCTAGTTTACTTTACATGGATTATGATAAAAGCATAACAATGTGACTTAAAAGATAAGGAGGCTACAAGGAAAGAGAGAAAGCTAACAAGTAAAAATCATATATTTTCATGGATGCAAAGGCATTAGATGATGAGATATGCATGGTGGAATTGAAGAAGACAATTCATAATATTGAGATATCTAATTTTTAAGAGAGCATTAAACTTAATTATAGTTGGTTATGAAACCAAGAAGTTACAAATCATGTTTAACATTAAAGAAGAAGACAAATTAATTACAATAAGAAAAAAGTGATACAGATAAAATTATCTTAGGTGATAAAAAATTATCTAGTTTAATAATTAAGTTAAAAGTTATCTTATTAAATAATAAAGTTTTAAAAGTATTCTAATTTGGTAAAAAAACTCAACACATTTATCATAGTCAAACCACATGCTGTCAGCCTCTCACCAAACACCTGGATCCAAATTCCGTAAGTCACAATGTCGAGATAGAAACTACAATCAATCTTCGGAGACAGTATCCACAGAAAATATTTCTGTACGACTTTGCGATGCCGATCAGTTTGTGGTTCATGTTAAGCTCAGTAAAGAAAAGAAATCTTTTGACTTTACTTCACAGAATAACTTCCAAAATGACTTGGGATGGAACCATCAATTCCTTTGCTGGATGGAAGACAAGTACATCAGGTTCTTGGATTTGTACCAAAACAATTCGGCAGTACTAGTCAAACAAAAATAAGTGAAAAGAACAAGTGGCCGCAGGGGCAACCTTTGGAAATAAAAGCATCATCATATAGATCAAGGAGATCGCTAGAAGACAGAAGATCATCTCAACCTGAAAAGGCACCATCCATAGAAATTATAGAAACACCAACAGTAACTAACGTGTATGAAAGAGATTGATTAAACAGTCTGGCAATAATGTACGTATGGCCAATCCGGGGTTGAAATTTGCTTTGAAGAGGACTAAAGTGACAATAAATGTACTGGGAGAAGGGGCCATTGTAGTACAACTATTTCATCACCTTGGAAAGGGTCTCGTAGAAAATCTTGTTTAGTTTTGTTGACTTTGAGCGGCAAAAAGTGCGTTTTGCTTTCGTCATGTTGACCTTTATGGAGTATTATATTTATGAAAATCATTAATGATGATGTTAAACTTATAGAATAAATGAAATAAAAGAAGTAAAAATTAGAAGAAATGAAAATAAATAAATAAATATAATGAACAGGATAGAAAATCAAATGAGAAGAAATATGAACCGGCCGCCAGATATAATTGGACCTCACTGGATGGTGTAGAGAAAGTCAAGGAATATGGGTCACGTGAAAGGAAGGACCGAGGGGAGAGAAAATGACAAGACAGTCAACTATGACTGTCCGATTATTATTATCATGGCACATTATTTTTGGTATAAATCTCATCTCGTGATGACTGATTGATACTTCAAAAAGAAGAGTGCAAGTTGCAAGAATGCAACTAATTGGTTAATTTCTTCATTTATTGTCCATCGAAGTCGAAATTGAAAAGAGGAAAATGGGACCAGATAGAGCTAGTGGAAGGAAATACAAATATTCTATTATTGAATTATTTGTGGATATATATATATATGTGGACGCACGCACGCGTGTTTTTTTTTCCGAGGGGCACAATAGACTCTGTGTTGATTCACATATTGGTGCGGCGAATCGGCCTAGTTGAACTCGAAACCTCTCAGTCTCGGGACTTAGCAGGTCAGGTGGAAATTGAGACGAAGTGGAGGAGACCTTTGTTGTCGTCGTCATGGACTCGTGAAACATAAACATCGTGTTTTTCATTTCTTCTTCTTTTTCACTCTTTTCCTCCTTTGTTTTCTTTCTATGGGTGGTTTGGACCTGGGCCTATGTCCATGCCCGTAGCAAACCCAACGTCCCCAATTGGCAATTTATTTTTTTGTCAAGCAAGTCCATCACGTTGGATTTTTTTTTTTTTTTTTTTGTCTGTTTGCTGTCTTGGGAAAATCTGTAACGTGAATAGACGCACCTGCAATTTGTAATTTATTTTTTTCCTTCATGAACTGAGGTAGCTTCGAACCTAAATTTGAGCGTCTATCTGCTACAAGTTTTTGGTGCTCAGCAATCATAAAAACTATCCCACGTAACTAATTTACAAATTCAATTATAACTTTTTCTTGGTTTTGAGTTCATCAGCAAACTAATGATACCGATATCATATATTACTTTAGAATTCAAGGACTTTAAAAACGTAAAGTCTTCAGAGTGCGGATACAACTTCTATTAAGAGTAAAACGCCTTTTTAAATACAAATCTGTTAAGTCTATGAATTAACTCAAGACAAAAGAGACAGATGATGATATCATACGGGCAAACAACACCAAAACGTGTTAAGATAGACAAGTATATTGTAATACATGCATTTCCCTCCCGGGGGTCCAAATTCCAAGTGGATGGTTTACCGGTGAGTACTACAGCCCAAAAAAGATAGAGAAATCCAGAAAATAGCCTCTTATTGGACTATAGTATATTTTATGGGCTCATTATTCTAATTGCCATTTGGATATGTCTATTTTAATTACCATTTGGATCCACCATTTGGCAGGCTTGGATATCATTGGCCAACTTTATGACTGGTGCTTTGGTGTCCGAAAGATTGGAGAAAAAGTAACTGATAACGTGCAAGAAACTAATGAAGATCGATATATAAAGAATATTGAAATTAGAAAGCTCAATTCTTTTAACATTATGCATTAAAAAAAAGATATTTTATAATTAGCTTTAGACTTTGTACAAATTTTCAGAAACATGCCAACTTTTGGCTCAGGAAGGTAAGGTGCGGATTGGTGGGCAAAGATATCTATGAAACGAATTACAAATTTCCCTTTCGAATTAGAATCAAAACAAGTAGCACACTTGCTTCCCTGCCTACCAACAAGCTGCTAAAGGGAGCGTTGGCACCTACTTCGATTGCAACGTCACCACTTCAAAAGTCTTAAAAAATTGGGTCACTTCAATGCCATCCAGCTGGTAAGATCAATTTTTATCACCATACCTTCTTGCATCATCAATCTACGCCTAATTAGTTCATCAGCGCACTAAATTTCACTTATTATGCTATCTGCCGGAGAGGCAAATATTTGATATGGTAAACTATATTTTGACCCTCTGAAGGCTTAAAAAAGATCAACTTTGGTCCCTGTAGCATAGAACGCCAATGCTAATGTTTTCAGAAAAATTTCCATTTTAGCCTTTGATCGTTAAATGGAAAACACAATGGACGTACCTTTTGAATTATGTTTTTTAAAATATTTTTAAAGTTTGTAAGCATTTTTTGTTGAATAGTACCACATGCATTCGAATTCAGGAGGTAAAGATAAGAGAACAACATGAAAAGTTGAAAGAAGATGGAAATTGTATGCATTCCGCTAGGCATTTAACAGCCAGGAATCATATTAGAACTTTTTGAAAGCATTAAAGTTGACGTTAATTTGTTTTTTTTTCTCTTTTTCCAAACCATATGGGCCCAGTGGAACCCTCCTGAATCTGTAGGAGCTGAAAATAGTTTACCTTATTTAACACTCGAGTGGCCAAATTTTTCGGTACAAGCTGCACGGCAGGGCACAAATTGATTAAAACGTGCAGCATCTTCTAACCAAACAGGAAGCAATTCAAAAGATCGCTGTCTGCTTTTATAATGGAGCCGAGGAATCATGCATTTCCCTTTTACCTTGTTTGCTTGAAGTGTTTAAAGCAGACACTTCAAGCAGCTAGAAGTTTCTTGCTGAAAATAAGACTAAGCATTGTTCATTATGTCAAACGAATATGTCAATAACATAACAATCTACTCATTCCACTGTTTAGCATCTACAAGAACTATAAATTTATGGCCCATCATCTGGCATACGACTTACAAGCATGTTGACAGCAATGAATGAATAAAGAACATACGATTAATATGATAATCAATTAATAAAATCATGTCTCAGAGATGGGAAATCAGCTATGTTCTCCAGGCATTGCAAACACAAGAAATGAGTTTATGTTCATAATATCTGCCAAGACAGGAGGAAGTCCTATTATCTCCACGAAGGCCTGTAACAACACATGACAAATCTTCCAATGATGTTCTTTATAGGAAGGGTTCCCCTGCCATAAACCAATGTCAAACACACGAGAAAGGGTTAGCTTGAATGTTAAGAAAACATTTCTGAAAATACATTTCAGAATTTAAACTAAAGCATTGCTTCGGGAGGTCATTGGTACGAGACCCAGGTACTACTGCAGTCACAAACGTGGCTAAATTTGGAAAAGGCAATGCCTTTTGTGTCATCTCCAATGAACAAGAAAGTTCTAGGAGGGACACTCCATTAAATTTGAATATCAGTCACAGAATTACTTAGAACAAAGCTGGGGATATATTGGAAGAACATGAAATAAATCTGTTCTTAATTTTCCTTATTGAAAAAGAATACAGATATAGCAACAACAGGCTTGAGAATACTACCAAACATGGGAATCATAGCTGTTATTACGGTTGTCACCCAGCACATAAACATGACCTTCAGGCACATACTGCAAAACCAGTACAAGAGCAAATTATCAGGAAGCAAAAATATCGAATTCCAAGAAAAACTGATACATTTAGGGAGAGGACCAAGCATATGGGATGCCGTCCAAAGCTCAAAGAGAATCCAAATGCCAGTGATTCGGATTCATAGAACTTTTAACTAGGTTTCTTCATCCTCACATTTATGTACCTCATCCAACAACAGGGTGTACCTTATGCATTGAGCATTTTTTACCAGTTTGTGAGCCATTTCAGCGGTTTTTTCTATCCTAACATGTTGTTCATGGACATCTATTGCTAGTTTTAAAAAAATGCTTGCAAGGTGTGCAACAATATAGAAAAATATAAGAGGTAAGGGTTAGGAAGCCTACAGTTAAATTAGATTTATATGTTGGTTGCTCCGCTAAGAAGTCTTCAGTCTGAACAATTCCGTTGACATAAAGTGATCCATGGTGAACCTGCAAGTATCAGAGGAGACCACAGAAGGGTTCCACATTAATATAGGCACAGTTTTGAGGTTAAATAAGAGCATAAATTAAGGATGATAAACTGGAGATAGGTTTTATTTAAGTTTTTGTGTATTGATCATAAACAAAGCAGCCATGAGCTTACTGAAGAGTACGAAAAATTTTCCGACAAACAGTAAACAAGTGCTTTTCATAATCAATCACATATCAACTAAAAAATGTTTAACTGACAGAGTACGGGATGCTGATGCAACCAATCCAAAACTTTGTGCCTCCCTGGATACTGCTGAGGAAGGCACAGAGAAATTTCTATACCTGAACCAAGTCTCCTGCTTTTGCAACAACTCTCTTAATGAAAACATCTTCCCCTGTGATACCAAGCTGTCATAGAAAAAGCAAGACAATATAAATACACCTAATAAAAAGAAATCAGGAGGATTTTGCACCATGAAGACAAACCTGTTTCGGAGCTCTGAACGTAACTATATCATTTATAGCAGGTCCTTTGATGTAGTACGAAGCCTGAGAAGTTTGGAGTAACACTAATTAGTTAAAATCCAAAGTGTATGTTGTTAACAAAAAGACAGACATGAAAAGCATTCTCAGAGAAATGAAACAAGATTCAAATGCCAAATCAAGTCCAAAAATAATTCAGCTGACTCCGATATACAAAAGAACTTACTTCTAATCAGGTTCAAAAAATAGTTAAAAATGTGGAGTTAGATTTCCCTTAGATTGAAGAATTTTTCCTCGCAAACTTGAAAAATGGTTTGTTTAACAAAAATGTATTCTCTAATCAACACACTTCCATGGGACCATTGGCAAAGATTGCCATTTGATTATACTGAGGCCTTTCAGAGTGGTTGCAATAAATGTTGCAACCAATTCAGCAAGTGAACATCCTGGTCCCATTCAATACTCGTTTCAATGACTCCGTTAAATTCTTCCAATAATGCTAATCATCTGGGGACGATTTTCGGTTTGCTAACAACATATGAAAGCCAATCCTTCTTCAATAATAAGTATCAAATCCAGGCAATGAAGTGCAGAAGTTGTTTTTAGAGATGATCACACTTCTCTGGGTATCTCCATGAACAAGAACTTAAAATTATTGCTAAGCAAAGACAACCTAGAGTACCCTTAAACATCCCTTGATAAAACATGGCCCTACTGAAGGGCAGGATAGAAAACTCCCTAGCTAATGAAAAGAGTACAGAAAACATCCCCTGTTGATAAGAGCAAGAAGCTGGCTAACTTGTCTGATTAGGCTGAAAAATAGTGAAATATACTTCAGAAAGTTCTAAATTTTGGTTTATGAGATGCTGTCATTAAATTCGAATCACCAGCGTGCACTGATAACAAGAATGGAATCATGTAAATGGTAGTTGCAAAACCACCATAGATAGGAAAACCACTCAGAATAACCCTGTCATCTTCTAAATTACCTTCTACAAGAATCTGACTTCAAAGAAGGTCACACCTGCTCCAATAACCTTACTTTGGTCTCATAAAAAAATTCATTCGGCTGCCTAATTGAGTAAGATCCAGATTTTGCATTTACAAATTACAATACATGAGTGATGTTACCCATTCAGTGAACAGGTGCATAAGTTGCTGATGACGATCTGCCTATCTGTTTTTGACAAAGAATGCATTCATGCTTGCCTTTTACATTAATGATAGCAGTTCTTACAGGCAATTAAATATGATCTGAAGAGAACACTTGGTATGTAATCAATTAAGCTGTAGAAACATAGATCTATTGGCACATAGCAAGAGCTCAAGTTGGGAACTTAATGAGGAAATCCTTTGCATTCTGAGCAACTCATACATGCACCGGAATGACTTGCTAATTTAGTTGCAATCAAACACAGATTTCAATGTTGAAAAAAGCTTTCTCAGAATATGGAACGAGCTATAAATTCTGTAAAACATCTTACAACTATGGAAGGAATCTTATCTATTGCTTTTATTTAGAAACGATCGAGTTTCAGGTCTTCTAAACTAGTCAGATTAATTGTGGTGATCCGCAAACAGCAAACTGACAAGAACTGTCATCTATACGGCATAGATGGACATCCATTCCCAAAAATAGAACATCTGAAGTGGAGTTTTTCTAGTCAACCGTAGTTCAGTAAAGTCACAATAGCAAATTACATTTATTTGTTAAAGCCATCTACTAATATAGTTGATAGGCATCAATTCCTGAAAATGAAACATCTCGAGTGGAATTTTTCTGGCCAACTGAATCAAATATGAACTAAGAAGGCGTTTGGTATGTGGATCCTTAGATATCCTCTTGGATTGTAATTGCTGGGAACGTGATTGGTTGCCCTGTTAATTGTTACAAGCTGTTGTATATAAAATGATAAGAAACTATGTAAATTGGTGCGTTGAATAATATTGGATTTTCTCTCTTCTCCTGCGTTGCTTTTTCTTTGTGTTTCTTTCTTGCTTCTTCTTTTCTAGTTCTTGACTCATTCTTCTTACTTTCTTTACTCCCAAATTATACCGTATCAGATTAGGAACAAAACTGACTATAAAATGAGAGAAATCAAATTTATAAAACGTGTCCCTGGATTCTGCTTATCACAAAGGACGCGTAATATTGATTAAGCAATAAACAAAGGGGAAGCACAAATATGTTTTATCTTTGCAGTTTCAAGGAGAAGTGCCTGAGTACAGCAAATAGGACAGATAATTAACTTGGTCAAATAATTAAGTACAAACATGTTATAAATAATTTAAGGAAATCCAAAACCACTTACTATATCGATATACCAATTAAACGCTGCTGTATAAGAAAGTAAGCAAACTAAACCACTAAACAAAATGAGCATATGATCATACCGAAGCATAAAAGCCCAAGAGATGATATTAATCGCATACCTTTTCAACAATGATACGATCACCAACACGAAGAGTTGGGTACATAGAGGACGAAGGAATGAAGCGAAGCTCTGAGAAAGTAGACCACAAAAGCACCAAAACAAGAAGCCTCAACAGCCCATCAAGACCAGGCCATCGAAGAAATCCCCAGCTCTGGCATGGCATCCATTTTAGTACTGTAGCATATATTAAAAAGAAATGATGCAATGCAGATGGTCTCAAGAAACTCATTGTAAAGGGTAGCAGATTTAACGGTGACCAAGAAAGGAGTAATGCAACAAACTAAAAGAAGATTAAAATGCGAGGCTTACGGGCTACAAGTTTTTTGTTTTCTTTGAAAGAGAGAGAGAGAGAGAGAGAGGAAAATAGGTGATGTGCTATGTATGTATGGACCAAGTCATTCTTGCTGAGTAAGTTTCCACAGAAAGAGAAACTAGACAGAGATTCTCACCGTTCACACTGTCAAGGTTTACTTTTATGCAAATGCGACCAAACCACTAGAACCGTACGGACACCGCTAAATACACCTGTAGCTGATGATTATAAATTTAGGCTATGTAATGGTATAGCTTATTGGGCTGCAACAGTAACGTATATATTAAGGCTCTTATTAGATTGCTAAACACAAATGCATCTGCACCTGTCAATCTGTCACTGTCACAGTGACACTGGAATTTGGGCCGTCCCGAAAACACCCTGTGAATTCCACGATTATTTTGAATGCGGATAACATAGTCGTCACATCAAATGATTTTCAGTGGTCTGGTAATTACTAATCTTCCAAGGCAAAGCATTCATGTCGAAAGCAAGAGTGAGCTATGTTAGGAATTTTGCATTTGAACCTCAATAACTATCATTTGAGTTTAGGGAATTTGATCATTAGTAGTACCAAACATAAATATGAGTTAAAAGCAAATCATCCTCGTTGAGTGAGAGAATATTGCTCATTAGACGTGGAGTTTGATTTATAATGACCATAAACACAAACATAACTATTGTAGCAAGCCGACTCTGTCTGGATTAAACATAACTAGCAGGCCCAAAATCATAAATGGGACAAGGCCTACTCACGTACAGACAAAACATTAAGGAATTAATTTAAGATCTCTAGAGATAAAAATGGACCCACCGATTCCTCACCTTACCAAGGCATTTTCATTGCGGGCCCTACGTTTAAACTCTTCTTTCGTCGCTCTGCCAAGTGTGGAATCCTTTCAATTCTTGGGACCCAGTTATTCCACACCACGTCATCTCTTACACCACCAATCCCATCTCTTTTATATCGCCAACAATTCCCCACTTCCAAAACTCAAAAACACTCAGAGCACACTAGTCACTGGTCAAGAGAAACGATGAAAGCCATAAAATTACTCTGTCTTCTGCTCCATCTCTCGCTAGCCTTGCTCTATGCAACTGCAGACCATGGACCAACCAGTGGAACTAGCATCATCTTTGCCACACTCGGCAGATTAGACTATGCTTTTGACATTTTTACCCTGCCAATCAGAGACCCACCAACAAAAACCAAGGAGCTCCAGATTACAGATGGGAAATCAGTAAATTTCAATGGTCACTTCCCTTGTCCATCTCCCTCTCTCCTCTCTCTTTTACCCAACAAAACCCTAATAAATCCCACTGGCCAGCAAAACTCACCCCCTCTGAACCTCATCTACGTCACAGAACGCGGTGGATCATCAAATATCTTCTACGATGCGGTCTACGTCAATAATCCGCGAAGCACCAGATCCAGGTCAGCCCTTGAAACTCCTACACGTGTACAAGTTCCTTTATTGGAGGGGAAAAGTGGACTTTCGATGAAGGATAAGCCCACTGTAAGTGGAGATTATTTAATATACGTGTCAACACATGAAGACCCACACGAGCCAAGGACGAGTTGGGCTGCAGTGTACTCGACCGAGTTAACTAACGGGATGACTCGGCGACTCTCCCCGCATGGAATTGCCGATTTCAGCCCCGCGGTGTCTCCTTCTGGCGTGTACACAGCCGTCGCTTCTTACGGTGAGAGAGGATGGAACGGTGAGGTGGAGGAACTCAGTACAGACATCTATATATTCGTGACTCGGGATGGGACTAACCGAGTCAAGGTTGTCGAACACGGCGGTTGGCCCAGCTGGGTGGACGAGTCGACTTTGTACTTCCATAGAAGAAGCGAAGAAGATAACTGGATAAGTATATATAAGGCGATTTTACCGAGTCAAGGACCGATTTCGATTGAGTCAGTGATCGTCGAGCGAGTTACACCACCTGGCCTCCACGCGTTCACTCCAGCTGCTTCTCCAGGTAACAACAAGTTTATAGCAGTAACCACGAGAAGACCTAACTCGGATTATCGCCATGTAGAGCTATTTGACCTAGTTAATAACGAGTTTATCGAGTTAACTAGGTTGGTCTCGCCGCAAACACACCACTTGAACCCGTTTATCTCGCCTGACTCTACCCTAGTTGGGTACCACAGATGTAGAGGGGCTACAGAGGATAAAAAGAGCGCCCACTTGTTACTAGAGAATGTAAAGAGCCCAGCGCCAGACATTTCGCTGTTTAGGATTGACGGGTCGTTTCCTTCCTTCTCCCCCACGGGCGACCGTATTGCTTATGTTGATTTTCCGGGTTTGTATGTGGTAAACCGGGACGGTTCAAACCGGCGCCAGGTTTTTACTGGGATGGCATTCTCGACTGCTTGGAACCCGGCTCGGAGAGGTATTGTTTACACAAGTGCTGGACCCACTTTTGCTAGTGAGAGTACTGAGGTTGATATAATCTCCATTACTGTTGATGATGATTTGGGGATGATTAATAATTTTAAGAAGTTGACTATTAATGGTGAAAATAATGCATTTCCTTCTGTTTCGCCCGATGGGAAATGGGTTGTGTTTCGGTCGGGTCGGTCAGGTCATAAGAACTTGTATATAATGGATGCTTTGGAGGGTGAGAAAGGTGGGCTTTTTAGGTTAACGGAGGGTCCATGGAGCGACACCATGTGTAATTGGTCACCAGATGGTGAATGGATTGCTTTTGCATCTGATAGGGAGAACCCCGGTTCAGGGAGTTTTGTGTTGTTTTTGATCCACCCGAATGGGACCGGTTTGAGGAAGTTGGTTCAAAGTGGGTCGGCTGGGCGGGCAAACCACCCCTCTTTTAGCCCCGATGGGAATAGCATTGTGTTTACTTCAGATTACGGGGGCATATCAGCTGAGCCAATCTCGAACCCACATCATTATCAACCTTATGGAGAGATCTTCACGATCAAATTGGATGGATCTGATTTGAAGAGATGGACGCAAAATTCCTATGAGGACGGGACCCCTGCATGGGGGCCTACATATATGAAGCCGAAGGATGTGGAGTGGCCAGGTGAGGGACCACAGTGCTCCTTTGAGGATTGCCATTGGCTCAATAAAATGCCAATCCTTGGTGATTGGGTTGCACCGTTAGACTCGACCAAGCCCGAATGTGGTACTGGCGCATGAGCCCTGGTTTATTCTGTCTAATGTACGTAAATATGTAGTAGTCGATATGTACATATATTACAGCATGTAGTTAAATGCTGCTTTGTGAAAATTGTCATTGCGATCTTCTTTTGTAGCCAGAAACTCTATATCGTCATTGCGAAATAATGTTTCCTGCTGTTATACTTTGTCTATTAGGTATTTCAGAGGGGATGATAATATATTTGAGAAGCAGAGACCCGTAAAACAACTTCAGATGATGAAATTGAACAAAATTGCAGCTGAGATGCCCGCGTTCAGCGGGAAGTGTGACTCAATTCCTAGCGAAGATGGAAAAAGTAAGAGGAAAGTACTCAAAGGAAATGGCCGTGCTAAAATCTGACTATGAATTCACTAGAAAAGAACCAAGGATATCATACAAGATTATATGAGAAGTTGAGTTGCCGAAAGAGTATACTCAGCAAAACCTCCAGATAATCTAAGAAACTACTGACGTACTACAACATTTTACAGGAAAAAAAATGATACAGTGATGCATATGGATTGCATTGCTCGGAACCAGAAGAACCACCGAAAGCAGGTGATTCACTTGAAGTTAATCCAACAGAGCATTGGAATAGTACGAAAGTCTAGCAGCTTGGGTTCTGGAAGAATTCCTCAGGTATTGAAGGAGGGCAGTACTTCTTGGCTACAAATTTGTACTGACACAAAAAGTAAATAGCTTATATTAGATTAGGACGCGTGCAATTCAGGCCATTTCCTCAGTCTGCACTAGTGTTGTGCGTGTGTGTGTGTGTGTGTGTGTAGAGAGAGAGAGAGAGAGAGAGAGAGAGTGACAGGAGGAGAGTCCTGATTACCTTATGCTGACTGTATTTCTCCCTGATTGCGGGTAAAGTAGAATTATGGCTTCCAAAGTACAGGCGAAGGAGATCCTTTACACAGTCACACAAATCAACAGGCTCATAAAGTGTGTAATGTTGCAATGTGGAATTCTGTTCGAGAAGAAATGGAGTACCGATAGTGAGTTTAGCTTGAATGGTGTAGTAGATGCATCAGATGCCATAAAAATCCCATAAATTAAAAGTTACATTTTTTCTAACACACGTACCCATGGTCTCTTTGAAGGAAGAAGTATAAATTTGGCTAAGAAAATGGCAGAGGCAGCTACCAGTGATGGAGCATAGCAAAGCATAGTATACTCCAGGAGAGATAATTCTGCAATGTAGTTGGCCAAGCACTCCAACTGCATTGATGGAACCTAGGAAAAAGGCACACACGCATAACAACCAAAATCAACTAAAGATTTGTGGATGAAGGTGATAGATATTAAAAAAATCAACAATTCTATGGCCAGCAGCCGAACAGAAATAGATACCTCATCGATTCCTTGAGCAGCACGAACAAATCGCCTACATGCCATGGCAATGGATGATTAGTCATGAGAACAGTATAGGATAAAGAGAACAATAGATAAAGTGTATAACCATAAGTTAGCCATTACCTCAAAAAACATTTAGCCGTTGGGGCTGTCATTTCAAACTTCAAGTAGTTCAAAACAGTTGATTCCATTTCCAGAACCTGCAGCCATTAAAATTACTTAATGCTCGTGCAGGTTAGAGGAAAAATTCATAATGGCAGAAATTATCTGCCAAATGCACTTGTGCACAAGGACAACAAACAAGAACAATACCTCATCCCTGAAATATGTGTTATCTGTAATGTAGCAAAACTCTTCCACCTGGGGTGCACATATTTCCTCGTATTTCCTGGCAACATCATCATCTTCCTTTGTTAATGCATATGGTAAAATTTTAGAAGAAAAAAGAAATGCCATGTATCAAAACAAACAAAAACATCACAGAAAACTCTTTCTTACGCAGCAACCATCATGCAGGCAATACCAAGTAGCTGCAGTCTTTGCCTGTTCATCACATTCCCAGACAGATATCGATCAATGTAGTTTACAGTCAAATACAAGGTATCAGGTACAAGCCTGTACTCTTCAGCCACCTACATTTTGATCACAAGTTCAGCATATGATTACTAACGGTCCATCTGAAGAAATATTGGTAATCCCAGAACCCATCTATCAATCTAAAGAATGGTTACAGAAATTGATCATTCTTCAAATCACGTTGCAAGATGACAAATATGTAATGCAATATAGAAATGTTACCTCCACAAGCCAGTCAACCAGTATTGCACGCATGCTGGCATTGATGTCTTTCTGAATTCTTTCCATGAAGTCTATGGACGGCTTTTTCTTCATCTAAAACCCCATGAAATTCAATAAAGAAAACAATAACGATAATAAGTCCAGGAACTTCAGGTAGCACTTTGGAAATGCGTTGTGCATACTAAAGATCTAAACAAAACTCGGAGAGGATGACAGATTTTACATGGAAGAAAGAAACTCATTTAGCAATGCCACAAGGAGGTACAACTCTCATACCACAAAGGAGACTCATAATTGGCACATAAGCTTGAATACTCTACCTCAGATGCACGCAAATGCTTGTAAATATCACAGGCAATGGTTGCACAAAGCTGCGGATCCTGGTAATTGTCATCAACATTAACAATTTTATCATCTGTTTCCATATCAACAAGTGTATCTCTGATGCACGCATTTTCTGCACGTATAAACAAACTAAATTAGGAAGTCAAGAAATAAAACAACATTCATTAAAATATAATGAAGACAACAGATGAGTGAAAAAAGTTAAAAACCTGCAGTTTCCACATGGTCTGAGATGTACAGATTGCTCAAGGTCTTCTTATTGATAGATTCAATTGCTGTTATTTCATTGTTATCTATATATTCAACTTCAGGGCTTTTGAAAGAATCACAGGTGGACATTGATTCATCCAAAGACATTGAAAGATCATCAGATTTACTTGGAGAAACATCCATGCAGCATGGAACAGAAACAGCAGCAACAGTAGGGACAGTTTCATCTCTTCTTGGGATAGAAATCACCTTACAAACACTAAGAGTACTAGATTTCGCATTTAAGGATGCAGGTAAAGTCTTTCCAGAGAAACCTGTACTGCTATTAGAAGCAGGAGGTCCCTTCTTCACCTTGGCAATTTTATTTGAGCATGGTGCCTACATTAATAAAATTTAGCTAGGATCAAACTAATTCTCAGAATATCAGAACAAATTCACAAGCATAATCAGAACATCACAATAAAGGGAGGTCAAAATTCACTTAGCAATTAGAACTTGAGAAGTTAATCGGACATTCAGTGTCCGTGGTGATTCAACCAAATGTTGCTTCATCAGAACAAGCAGAGCCATGAAGGCATCAAACTTTCATACTTGGTAAAGTTTTCATGCCACTATGAGGATAACATTATAAAATCAAATTATAATGCAGTTTCTAAGCAAGAAAAGAAAGCATTAGCTTCGACACTGAAGACAACATTGCGTATTATCTAGTCTAGTAAAATTAATTGCACTTATACTCATCATAACACAGAGGCAGTTTTTGTCAAGATTCTGATCACCAGAGTCTAATGTTACCAAATACAAACATTGACTTAATTCAATATTTATAATGCTGCTGCAATAATCAACATATAATTGATCTTCTAATTTTTCATATTAGGCATTTCTTTTCTCTTTTTCTGGCAAAACAATAAATTCTTTTAGCATTTATTATCTCCCCTTTTCTTAATAAAAGTTCCTCAGCAAACAAGCACATGAAGAAAAAATGCAATAAAGAACTACCCATTTTAAAAAACCCACAAATTTCCTTCAATAAACGGTAAAAATTATCAAAACCATACTGGGTTAACAAGAAAACCCAGAACCCATAAAGAATTAAAAACAAAAGACCCAAAGAAGTCCATATGCAGCAAGAATAAACAGAATACAAAGATTAAAAAAAACCCATTAAATGTTCCTTAATTTCTCAGAAACCAAGAAAAAAGAACATAACATAATTTAGGAAGAGAAAAGAAAACAAGAAGGAAGAAAAACCCACCAAACTAGATGATGTAATGGAGGTTCTTGGCCCCTTTTGAGTCACATTCTTTTGATTCGTAATGTCACCAAGAGGGGCACGTTTCTTGGCCAAATGAGAAGCAACTGCCGTGGTCTTCCCTACATTCTCCGTCGATGAAGAAGACGCGTGTCTTTTTGCAAGAGATGACGACGTTGAAGACGAAAACGACGAACGGCGTGTCTGGGTCGACATTTTCAATCAAAATTGAAAGCCAACCCCTCACTCTCTCTCTCTCTTCAATTTTAGTTACAAAAGAGAATTTAAAGAAAGAGAGAGTTTTAAGAGGAAACAAAACAATCTTAGATTTTTTAAAGAAAGCAAAAGGGGACTCTGCTTCTCTTATTTGCACAGAAGGAGAGGAGAGACTGATTGTGTATTTTGCCAGTTAATATTTATTTATTACTTTTGAGGCGGGGGAAGGCTTGATTTGAATTGTAGAGAGATCCTAACCGTTAATTCAGGCTCGTTATTCGTTAGGAGCGTAGGTTTGTAGGGACCACTGTGTATGTATAGTTTTTTGGGTTTGGTTTTTGGAGCGTCAATGACGAATAAAATTCTGCCACGAGGATAAGGAATTTGAGTTTTATGGGATTTGGCAGATTTGAGCGGATGGTAATTGGTTGGAAAGTCACAGGCGCATGTGTATTGAGCAAGGTTTAAACTTTTGAATTCGAAATTCAAACGGTCACTGGATCCGTCTTTTTTAGTAATTTTGTAGAAGACTACACAACATACACAAATTTGTTAATATTGGAGCTGCTCAGTCATGTCTTTCCCTTGTTCAAAAAAAAAAAAAAAAAGTCATGTTTTTCCTACAGAAAGTGAGCTTTTTATGCCAAGTATAGGTGGCATAAATTTATGCCAAATTGCCAAGTAGCAAAGTAAATTGCCAAGACCTTTTGTTGGGGTCAATTGCAAGTGATCCCTCTTATATGTTGTTACAATTGGAATTCTCCATCAAAAAAGCTAGCGGCAGAAATTTGATGACCACATGTTTGGAACTTGTACGATTTGAATAAAATTCACCCAATCTTCATTTCAAAAAACTGAAAAGATGATGAAAAATACAAAATCGAATCTCTAAACCTTTCTAAAATAAAATAAGGCTAAATAATTATTAACAATCTAGAAATATAGACATGACTGTCTTCAATGCTAATCCGTTTTTTTATTTTTTTATGTTCTTAACTTTTTCCTATTAATTTAGAAAACCTAAAAACTTTGTCTTTCTCGTATTCTTCTCTACTTTACCTTATATCCTAGGAAGGAGAAAAAACTTCTCTCATATCCTTGCCTTAAGGCATATATATATATATCCACATACATTTTGAAATTCATCTCTATTTCCTTATCAACGGTAATTCAAAATCACCATATATAATACAACTCTATTATCTCATTATATTCCTTGTTGGTATCTTAAACAATCTTTGGCAATAAAGAAAGGAGATAGAAGAAGGTGAATGTGAGTAGATAGAAATTAAAGAGGGGCATGTAAACAAATAAAGGTTGGAATTTCAATGACGATAGGGGATCCTTTCAGCGGAAGTGGACTATAGATTTCTTTTCAGGATCATCGATACAGCTTTCCAACCCCATCATTGTCAGAGGCGGATTTTGGTGTCCTAGAGAGGCAACCTGAGAGGAGGGTGAATTGATTTAAAAAATAAAATAAAATAAAAATAAAAATAAAAATAAAAATAAAAATTGGACAAAGATATCAACACATCAAGATTTCATGCAAAATTAGCAAAGACATATAAGCTCAAGTTACATGAAAAAAACCAAATGAATGCCAACAAAGAAATTAGAATATAAGCTGTAGAAGAAGGTGATGCGATCAATAGATACAAAAACTGTATAAAGTAGAAGTATAAAATTACGATGTAAGGCTAAAATAAAGTGTGTGCAGATAAAAACGATGGCTAAGAAGATTTTCTACTATAACCTATGGGTAGTCACAGTCTTCAGGGATGTCATTGAGATTTTCAACTACTCTTTAATTTGTTCTTTTAAGTACACCAATAGTTGTATGCTTTTAGTCCCTTGAAAAACACAAATATTTCACTTCTTCTAATTAGGAGCTAAGCAGAATGCCATACAACCAACAAGTATTTAAATGACAAATATTCTCCTTTCTATAACTTTGTCCAATTAACAATTAAATGCTTCAAATTAAGTGAAAAAATTTATCTTTAGAACCTTTAAATTTAAAATGTTTTTATGTGTTTATTCTAAAATTTAAAAATCTATCATTGTGGCCAACCTTTATAGAAATTTTTTTATTATTTTTCATATTTTTTGCAACCAATTCAATAATAATTTCTTTAAAAAAATCTGGAAAAATACCAAAGCAAAAAAACTAAGGCAGACCCATAGCCTTGGATTTAAAGAAGCCAAAAAAAAAAAAAAAAAACCAGATGGCTCATCACTCATATTGGGCAGTAACAGAGGCGACGCATCTTCCTCTTGCAACTTCCAACAAACCTATTATTAGAATCGTTATTGGAAAATTAAGGGCTAGTTTCAAACTTTCAAAATGAACATATATAAAGATTTGATGAGAATTTTCACAAGAAATGAAAAATTAAAAAAATCAATTTTAAATAATAAGTGTAAAAAATTATATATATAACCTATAATCGTTGCCAACCTGTGTAAAAAAAAAAAAAACAATTGATTTCCATATTTTTTGCAACCAATTCAATTATAAGAATTTTAAAAAATTCTAGAAAAAAAAAAAAAAAAGGCAAACCTATAGCTTTGGTTTTGAAGAAGCAAAGGTGTTGTCTTAGGCTTGCAAAAACAGGCTCATGCAGCCTGATGATTAACATGGCTAGCATGCACCGATAATTTGGTCACACAAACTCAAAATTCTATGCAAAAAAATACTCAATCGTTTTTTTCTTTTCTAACTTTTCACTCTGTATAAACTACATACTCTAAAATTTTATTTCATTTAATAAAGAAAAAGAAGTGATTAAGCGATTAAGTAGAGAAGGTTCTTCTGTAGTTACAAATTTCCTCGTTCATTTTTATCAAAGACTACTTGTTCTCTCATCAGGTGCTTTCTCTTCATATCTCTTAATACTAAGTTTCAACTTTAATCTATATTAGAAATATTTTTTTTATAACTCATGCTTTTTAAACACAAATTGTTTTAAAAGACTACTTGTAAATCATGCCTATCTTTTACCAAATTGTCAAATTGGCTCTTTGTCTTTAGGGATGGCATTGAGATTTTCTGTTATTCGTTAATTTGTTTTTTTAAGTACACCAATAGTTGTATGCTCTTAGTCCCTTGAAAAACACAACTATTTCACTTCTTCTAATTGATAGCTAAGCAGAATACCATACAACCAACAAGTATTCAAATGACTAATATTCTTCTTTCTATGATTTTGTCCAAATAACAATTAAATGCTTCAAATTAAGTGAAAAAAAATTGTCTTTAGAACCTTTAAATCTAAAATATTTATATATGTTCATTCTAAAATTTAAAAATCTATCATTGTCACCAACCTTTGTAGAAAAAGAATTGATTTTTCATATTTTTTGCAACCAATTCAATAATAATTTAAAAAAAAAACTTAGACAAATACCAAAGGAAAAAACCAAGGCAGACCTATAGCCTTGGGTTTGAAGAAGTTAAAAAAAAAAAAAAACGATGACCCGTCACTCATATTTAGATGACGCATCTTCCTCCAACAACTTCCGACAAATCTATTGTTAGAATCATTGTTGGAAAATTAATTGATTCAATTGTGAGAATACAAAATCCTATAAAACATTTAAAAATAAAAATTATTAATAAATATAATTATATTTAAAATTTAATGATCGAAAATCACAAAAATAAATTTGTTGGCACAAAAAAATAAAATTTTTATTTAAAATTAATTATTTGGTAATTTCAATTGATCACATTTAATCAATATATATTTGTATTTTATTAATTATAAAACTTGACTGTGTTTAATGGATAATGATACTACACAAAAATTATTTTTTAAAATTAAAAAAATTATATACAATTACAAATTTAATTGACTATGAAAAATCAAAGAGAATAATGTGTGGAAATTTTAAATAAAAATAGTTAAGTTATAGTTGCATTAAAAAAAAATTAACATCTTAAAAAAATTAACAGCAAAATGCTTAAATGGCGCCATTTAAACATCCGGCTTAGAGATCAATTGGGTCGATCGTTACAAAAATCAAACAAACAGGGGAATTAAAATACCATTTATCCAAAAACTAGGTTAACCGTTACAATTAATAAGAAAAAAAATATGATAACATTTGCCTAAATATCTCCATTTTAGAGTTTAAATTATGCAAGTTAACAATAAAGCTTTGAAATTATCAAATTGAAGTAGAATGTAGACAACATTTGTCATTGAGGTTGTGTTTGTTCGGGGAAAACTAAGTTTCAAGAACTTATTTTTTTCATTTTTCTCTATTTGTTTCATGTTTAGGAAAAAAGTCAAAAGAAAATGATTTATAATCAATGAAAAATGATAGAGTATTTTTGAAAAAGTCTTTTTTCAAGTTAAAAAAAAAAGAAAACAATTTCTCTCTCTCGCTCATGAGCTATCTCGCTCTCCCGTTACTCATTTTCTCTCGATATATCTTAACAATTTTTTCTTTGTCTCATTTTTATTTAAAACATATCAAATTAATTTTTAATTATTTCTTATCAATTATTATCAATTATTTAATTATTTTTTCTCTATTTCCATTAACATTTACTTTTTTAATTTATAAATACATTAAATATTCTTAAAAATAATTTTTTCACTTTAAAATTATTTTTATAATAAATATTTCAATAATTTATCTTTATCTTTTCTACTATTATCTCAAACACCACCTAAACTATACTTAAATGATTAGAAATGATTATTATAAGATTGTAATTATTTGTAAAAAAAATTAAAACTAGTTAATTCATTAATAAATACATTATTTTCTCAACACTATTTATTTGAAACTAAATCAATAATTTGTGACTAATTTTAGTCATTTGTAAAAATTTATTGGTAATTGTAGTTAATAATTAGTTACAAATTATTCCAACATTAATATCTTGAAACCAAATGAATAACTATCTACAAATGATAACTAATAATTTATAAAGCTATTTTTTTAAAGTACCTTGTAAGTTTAATTTCCAAAAAAAAAAAAAAGAATTCTTAATTGAGTTACCAAAACAACAATGCTAGGATTACTTATATATTTGTTTTTTTTTTACTAAATGTGAATATTGACTTAATTTTATCCCAAGTAATTTTGATGAATTGGTTTGAAAATAAAAGATGTACATTTTATTTTTATTTTTTTAAAATTTAAAATTTAGAATTAGTATTTATAAAAGTTTACTAAATTTTTGTAAATGCATCTTATATTGTGAATTTGTGAATATGCATAATTGAAGTTTTCTCAAAACTCATTGATGTAATAATCACAATCTGTTTTTATATTTTAGTTTTCTATGTCAAACAAACGCTGAAATATATTTTTCAGTAATTTTTCATGTAATTGTCAAATATCTAAAAATATTTTTTTAAAAAATAATTTTTTTAGAATTAATTTTTCTATCAAAAGTTATTTTTCATCGAACAAACATAGCCTAAACCGCTTTGTAGTAGGCATCAAACGGTAAAATACACATAAGTACACAAGTTTACAAGATAAAACCGGCAAATATTAGTTTTTTTTTCTTTTTTTACTTTATGAGGCGTGACTATTGAACCTCCCTCTCTCTCCGGTTTTTTTTTTTTTTTTTTTTTTACTTTATAATATTTTCGCACGGGTCTAAAAAAAGGGATCATTAATAGGACAAAGTTTAATTATTTTTTACTGATTATTTTGATACAAGTACATATGGTTCGAGAGTAAACTTTGGGCTACTTAATGGGTATTCTTATTACGTGATAATAAAATAAGCTCAAATTTATTTTACTAAAAAACTATTGAATGTACAGTCATTAATTTATTTTAATTTACATCCAATTGCATATTCATGTAGTTGATTCAACTCTTTTTAGAATCCAGGAAAAAAATTACACCTCCCTACACAAACACTCTCTCTTCTCCCATGAGCCATCTGAATTTTAATTCTTGTCTGGTCTCTCGAAGTATTCCAATTTACCGTACATATAATTTCATAAATGAGTACATTTGAGGTTTGTACAACAGTTCTCTAAACTAAAATTATTTTTTGGTTGCTATTGTCATACAAGGATGTATGGGTTCCTCTTGTTTTGCAAAATGAATTTTATGGTCCCTCCACTATCAAACTGATTAACCAGCTCATAAGGTTTTAATATACTTATAATTTAGGTGTCGTTTGGTTACAAAAAATGAAAAATCCAGAATGAAAATACGGGAATCGGAATGAAAATTAGAGAATCGAAATGACATTTATATTCTCATATTGTGTTTGGAATACCAACGATGAATCAAAATGTAATTTAAATTTTTTAATATTTTATTTTTTATATAAATAAAAATAATGGTTAAAAAAATAATTTTATCTAGCTATAATGATTGTAAAAATAATAAAGATGATGATGATGGTGGCAGCGGTGATGACGAGTTGTGGTGGTGGTGGTAGTAGAAGTAGTTAATAGACAATAAATAAATAAAATATATTATTATTTTGAAAAAAATTTCATTCCTATTTCTTATTTTTATTCCAACATTTTAGATACGAATGAAATTGTGTATAATTTTCATTTTCATTCATACTCTTTATTCTCATTCTCATTTCATTCATTTCAATCAAATAGCTATAATGTGAGAATAATACTTTTTTTTTTTTTTTTGGAAGAAATAGAAAAGAGAAAAGTAAGTAAATAACGTGGAAAGATTAATGGCAATAGAAAATATTTGTTGAGGAAGTTAATTAAATTTTCAATATATCAAGTGTCTTTTTTAATTTTTGTTTTTTTAGTAAACTAAGTTATAATTTTTTTGTAATCCCCTTAAATTTTTGTTAATATTTCCCCTAATATGCACACATACCCGGTTAGAAGGATCTGCTTTACACGTGGCAATGATGTGGCAGCCACGTGTAAATGCATGAAAAAAAAGTATATAAAAAAGGTAGGTTAGGGGAAACAAGTTGAAACTTTGCATTATCAGTCGAAGCTGGAAATGGCAAAACACCAGTCTTCTCATACACCTCTTCAGCCTTCACACCCTTATGAATCAAGAGAGTAGCATCACCACCATCATCAACAATCAAATCAGGACCGCCATTTGAGCCCCAGTCAAGAGCTCTTGCAGCATACCACCAATACTCCTGGAGGTTCTCCCCATTCCAACCAAACACAGCAACCAAATCACGGGCAATAGCGGCATCGACAAGATCTTAGGTGGAGAAGATATTGCAAAAACACCAACGAACCTCAACACCAAAAGCAGTTAAATTTTCAATCAAAACAGCAGTTTGGATGGTCACGTGAAGAGAGCCAGTACTCTTGGCTCCTTTGAATGGCTACGAGGGGCTGAATTCAGTACGGCAGGACATCAATCTAGGAAGAAAAAGAAAAGGAAAAAATAAAAAATGAGGGGAGAAAAATTCAAAAAAATAAAATAAAATAGAGCGAAAACCAAACACTAAAGAAAACCTCTCTCTCGCCACGTCCTCGACTGCCACTGCCCCCAGAGCACTGCCAATCTTCTTCTCTCTCCAGCCACCACAAAACCCAGAAACCAACCATCTCTCCATCTCGTCCTAACTACCATCACCTAGACCACCGCCGATCTCCTACTCTCTACAGCCATCATAGACTTCCTGACTAAGACCACCGCCAATCTGTGATGACTAATACCACCGCCAATCTCCTCCTCTCTCAATGATTTTATATATATATTTTTAAAACAGTAGGTTCATATATTTTTGTTTCCAAATAGCAGGTTTATACATTTTTTCATGTCATTTTGAGTCTTGGATGAAAAATATTTTTCAAGTCATATTTTTACCATAGGAGAGTGAGCTTTTTATGCCAAGTATACGTGGCATATATTTATGCCAAATTGTCAATTGTAAGCGGCAAAGTAAATTGCCAAGACCTTTTTTTAGAGTCAATTACAAGTTCCATCCCTATATTATGTCAATTTGATTAATTGAGTCCCCCTACTGTTTATTAGTCCCTCATATCTATGTTGTTACAATTGGAATTCTATGGGTCAAAATTATTATTTTTTAGAAAAATATTATCCTTTTTTCATTTTAATTAACAGTCAAAATATTTATCGTTAAGTAAAATATGATTTAACGATAAAATTTACTTCTAAACTATAGAAATTTGTAGTAAAATGAGATCTATAGAATTAATTTAAGATATTTAAACTCTACATTGTTAATTTCTTAGCAAAATTTATCTTATTTCTAATTGTTAAATTTTCTGGTCGCGAATCACGTGCAGGAGCACACTTTTGTATTTATGAAAAGTAACCTACGCGCCCCCGCACATGCAAACTGACACACCTTTGTACAGAAAAAATCCACAACCCAGATGCCAAACTCTACTAAAAGCGGGAACAGGGAACTGCCCTTGTAACAGCCTCCGCCCACCCCGCAATTTATTTTTCACATCTCACAAACCTACCTAAAACTACTACATCAGCCAGGTATTGCAGAGGCATGGCACCGTTATTGCAGAGCTCACAACCATGGGTGGAGAAATAGTAATTGAAATATCTCTTCAATTCTTTTAATTAATTTAATTTAATTTAATGTAGTTTAATTAAATCTCACAGGGTGTTTGTTTTTATGCTAAGGCACTGATTTGTCATTTGTTATTTTGGTAGTCGACCAAAGCAAGTAAAGGATGTAGCTCATCAAGATGAGGTGGTTCGCGTCCTCACTAACACCATCGAGACCGCAAATGTGAGCGAGAGATATTCTACTCCGAATCTAACGCTATCAATTACTCTTCAATTTAATTGTATATCAATGCAGCAATTTTTTTATTTGAAACCCTAGGTCTTACACTCTTCTTCTTTTTGGGTTTTTTTTTTCTTTTTTTCCTTTGCAGTGCCCACACATGCTTTTTTATGGGCCACCTGGTACCGGCAAAACCACCACTGCCCTGGCCATCGCACACCAGCTTTACGGGTATTTATAATTTTATAGCTATACTCCCTGTGTCTGTGTGTCGGAAAATATTACCTAGATAGTTGAATTACCAAATTGATTCGGTATTTTGATTGGTTAATCGTTGTAAAAAGAGTTGAGCACGCGGGGATGCTAGGGCCTTAAATGACGATTTTTTTCCATTTTCGATGAGAAATATGTAGTCATTCAATTGGAAATTGCATATGGCTATAAGAGTCTATGGAATTTATGTTCCAGTTAAACAGAATACGATACAACTGTCTTCGAAGGTAATAAATTCCTTTGGGAGAATGTGCCCATTGGGATTTTTATGTTGAAAAACTGCAGCAGACATCTTTAGCTGAACTTGTTGGAGTAAAATTCTTCAAGGATCTGATGTTTAGCTGAATGACTTTTTTAAAGACGTGCGTGTTACAGGGTTCAGGAGCTGGTACAAATAGTTGTTAAAAGACAAGTCTTTTTTTTTTTTTTTTTGCTGACCTTATTTTGTCAACTTGAATTTGTTAACTTATCTCTGGTTTCTCTAGATCATTTCTAAATGCTATCATGTCTGTCAAAAATATGATGTATGAAACTTTCAGAGATTAATTATGGTGATTTTGTGCCTTCTATCATCTTGAGAACTGTTATTATCTTTGTACCTTCTATCATCTTGAGAACTGTTATTATCATGTTAGATTGTAGAGTCTGCTGTCATCTAATATGTGACGAAAAGTTGATGCCATTCTGAAAGATATTCAGCATGTTGATTTCTTGATGTCTGCATTCATGACAATCTTTTACAGGCCTGAACTCTACAAGTCTAGGGTTCTGGAACTAAATGCAAGTGATGACCGTGGAATCAATGTTGTTCGGACTAAGATCAAGGATTTTGCTGCTGTGGCTGTAGGTTCTGGTCAGCGTCAAGGGTATACATTCTTCTTGCAATAACTTCTGTCTCCTACTTCGAACATAATTGCATATTGCCCTTCTGTTTAACTTTTATGTTTCCAATACTTTAGGGCTTATCCTTGTCCACCATACAAGATTATCATCCTAGATGAGGCAGATTCGATGACTGAAGATGCTCAGGCATGTTTCTTTTGTTCCTTTATGATGGATTATTTACAAATATAATGTGATGTACATGGATGGCACCTCATTTGGTATTTATGCTGTTCATTACAGAATGCCCTGAGACGTACAATGGAAACTTACTCCAAAGTTACAAGATTCTTCTTCATATGTAATTACATTAGCAGGTGAGCCACTTCTATTCTGCTTAGTTGTCATACAATATGTCGTTACAAATAATTTGATGATTGTTGGAGATTCTTCCATTGGTAAAATTATAACTGTGCTCCATGGGCGTGGAGTACCTGTTTTTGACAAACTAGTTATCTGACGTAACTGGCCTCCATCTGTGCTGTATTTCCATGAGGGTAATTGTATGGGTTTGTCAGTATGGTGATGCTTAGGTGCAATGATGATTCCTCTGCAAATTTCTTCCTATGAACTCTAGGGTTGTCAGTCCTAATCTTATATTTTTTGGGCATAAAAATATTAGTGCATCATTTACACTATAATTCAGGTGATTGTGACTCTTGCAGGATCATAGAACCACTTGCTTCGAGATGTGCAAAATTCAGGTTCAAGCCACTTTCAGAAGAAATCATGAGCAGTCGTATATTGCACATTTGTAATGAAGAAGGCCTCACCCTTGATGCAGAGGTATGCAAAACTTGTCGAATTCCTTTCTATTTTTTCAGTGGCTTGCTTTCCTAGCAAAAACGTGTGATGTACCACTGCAGGCTCTCTCAACCTTAAGCTCTATCTCACAAGGAGATCTTCGCCGTGCTATCACATACTTGCAAGTAAGAGATGATTTTTTTCTCCTTTCATGCCATGACCATGATGCTTATATTCTGTACCCCATTATTTTGGTGTCTTGCTCATTGATTTTTGTTACTACCTGTAGAAACTCAACCACCAACTCTTACTAGTCATTTCTCATTTCTCCTTGGTCCAGAAGGTTTAAAACAGGCTGTCCTTGAATCCTTACCACTCACTGAGACTATTCCGGTTAAAGTATTGATTTCTTATGGCATTTTACATTTCATGAGATAACAGAGCACAATTTAATGTTATCGAGTTTTAACCATTGCCTTTCTGAATATTGCGTTAAATGATTGACAGTTTTGTTAACCTTCATCAAGCTTGAAAACTTGTTTCACTGGATTGGATTGCTTTATTGTGCAAACATAATCTCAAAGTCTCTAGCTTTTGTGGATTAGGCCCAGTTATGATTATACCAGGATCGGGAACATCTGCCATTTTCAAAAACAAATCTACCACATGTTAGAGCTTTCGTAAAAAGGCAGTACTATTAGTAAGCCTTTGGTGTGATGTTTGAATGATCATCGATTCAAATGGAGGTTTTGGAATCTTTTTGAATTTGTACGAGAACAAATTGATGAGAGGTCCTTAGCATAAGAACATGAAATATTTTAAATCCTAATTTTATGACCATTGTGTTTCTTCGACAGTTTTGACCATTTTATTTGAAACTTCCATTTTGACAAATAGGCAGTGCCCAGTCATTAGCTGGTGCATTGTTCTATGTTCAAGTTTCCTATCCCCTGGTTAAAGTTGAACTTCAGCAATTGTTTATTGCAGGGAGCTGCTCGCCTATTTGGATCATCAATATCATCCAAAGACCTCATAAGTGTGTCTGGGGTAGGTTATATTATAAACTTCTTGGGCCTTTTGTTTTGGCAATTTAACTTTTTGTTATGAATAGTAATCCTTTTGTGCCTTGATTTTTGTGGCTTTGTGGTTTATCAGGCCATTCCACTAGAGGTTACTGAGGCACTTTATGCAGCATGCAAAAGTGGTGACTTTGATTTGGCGAACAAGGAAGTCAATAATGTAATTGCAGAAGGATATCCAGTCTCTCAGATGCTTGCTCAGGTTTCCCTTTTTTCTACCTTTAGACAAGTTTCATTGCCATATGCCATTTGCCAGACAAAATATGCTACTCATATGAGATTTCTTCCAGTTATTTGAGGTGGTGGTTGAAGCAGATGACATATTAGATGAACAAAAGGCTCGCATATGCAAGAGTTTGGCTTCAGCTGACAAGGTTGCTTTCTCTGAAGCTCATTTCTCTTGCCTGGCATCCTCTTTGACTTTATTATCAGTTTATCTTTGTTTGATTTTCAGTCAGTCAATTGTGTGATGTTATAAACCAGTTATTAACTTGGGTGAGCCAGTATTGGTGCTGATAGCAAATCATAGTTCAGAAAGTATTAAGTTGCACTTTTTTTAGTTTTTTTTTTTTTTTTTTTCAAGAAGAAAATGGTTATAATTCTGTATTTGAATAAATGACCTTGCTGCCACCCTTCCCCTTCACCACCATTGCTAATGATGCATTGAGAGAACACCACTGAAGTTTGCTTTTCCACATTACTGGATTTCACTATTTTAACCCTTTTTAATGAGGAGCTTTATGGTTGCCCATCGATGTCAACTCATCAATTGTCTCCAAATATTTGTGTTCCTATTTTCATCTCATTTTCGGGGCATAAAATTTTGAAGGCACGCGAGAATTTTTATGTTCTATGCTTTCTGGATTTTGCAGTGTCTCATTGATGGTGCAGATGAGTATTTGCAGCTGCTGGATGTGTCTAGTAACACAATGCGAGCTCTTTGCAACATGCCACAAGAATTCTCTTATGATAGTTAGGTAGCAGTCAAGCTTGGATTGAGATACAGCACATGGTGAGATCATGTATAATATAACGCCCCAATTTTTGAAACGGTTCTGTAAAAGAAATTATTAACTTAACTAAAGAATTGGCTACAAATTCTTTTATGCATGTGCTTTTCAATCCTTCTTTTTCCCAGGGAGATCGGTGGCTACATAGCCTACTTTCATGCCTAAGTCCGAATTGATTAAAAAATTTAAACACGTGGTTGTGAATTTGCTCTCTATTTTACCTGCACATTTTTATTTTCAATTGAGTGCCTACAATTTGCAACAATCTGAAGGCGTAGAAGTCCTGTCAATGACATGCCTCTGATTATTTGGTTTACGAATTGTTAGTGAAAATATTGCTGAAAGCTGGGACAAAATGGCTTTGTGATTGGTTATCCTTGCCCCCCATATGTTTGAAATTGATATGATTATAGTTGTTCAAATATTTGAAAGTCCTTTCGCGTTTACATTATGAGCACGACTTACAAGTGGTAATTCTACCGTTGCAGGCTTGTCGGGCTGCATCATGTGGTGCATGATCATTTGCAAAATTTGAAATTCTGAATGGCGCACAAGATCATTATAGTTACTATTGGAGGCCCAAATTCAATCCAGCTCACTTTAATAGTAGTTAATCTGCCATGGTCAAGGATGCCATGTTTTGCGCTGTTCGGCTGATTTGATGTGACATAGACTACTTTCGTTTAGAATTTACAAGGAAATCTGCTGAAATTTCCATGACCTAATGCTAGGATGGCTCGTAGAACAAAAGCCAGAGGTGTAGAAGGCAATTTTATGCATTGAAAGCTACCCTCTAGTTTGTACACAGATATCATGCACGTGGAAGTCCTTCAGGAAGGGTCTGGTAGGCATCTCATGTCTTAATCTCCTAAGTTTGAATTTTTGCTACGCAAGTTTGTCTCATCTGTTGATTACTTCAAATTTCTGTCTTTTGATATGCTTTGTCAATTACGTGTATGGACCCATTAACCTCTAGACTGGCCCAGTTACCCCACTTCATGCCTTTGATCCCGCCGAGACCAAGCCTTTTCTTCACCTTAATTATATATGTACACCTATATGTCAAATAATTTCAGATGAACAAAGCAAGAGAAAATTCTGTCATTTTTGTTTCTGTACTTGCTTTCTTTAAGTTCGCTTTCAGTGTGGTTAGTTAATTTTCAGTTGAGATGGCAATAGAAATAGACGATTCTTTCAAGAAACCTGGAGCTGTTCCATTTAAATGGGAGATCCGGCCCGGTGTCCCTAAGATCCAACAACAACAATTACAGCAAAAACAGCTAAAGAAAGAACTATTACCCCCGGCAGTGCCATCACCATCACCACCTTTCAATCACCGTCGTCCATCACCAATACCTCAAGTACAAAAGCAAAAGCTTAAACCTCCACCAGCTGGATCCATTTTTCTCCCTTCACCCGAGCCCCGTGCCCTCTCATTTCGCTCTGCTCCACGTAGCCGGTCTGAGCGTTGGAGGTTCGAGCAACCCACCCGTGTCCGACCTGAATGTGTTTCACCTGGGTGTTTCCCATCACCTCTATTAAGGAGAAAAGAAAGCAAGAGGTGGACTAGCACCAAAATAGCTAGACCTGCAACCGAACCTGATTATACCTCTGATCTTGACACACTGTCTCGGTGGTCCATTTCAAGCAGAAAGTCACTGTCGTCATTCCCTGACTCACCAGCGTCCTCATTTTCATCATATCGGTCATCACCTCGACCTGTGAGTGATGCTGAGTGGGCTGGGTTTGGACTTTTTTGAAGAACCTTACTGTATATACACTGCTGTTCCTAAGAGTTTCTGAAGGAATCTAGATGTGTTGTCGCTTTGGAAAGTTTAGCAAGTTGATCAGTCTTGATTGCTTTACTGTTACGGACAAGTATTATACCACACGTGTTGTCACTTTGTTGGATCAACAGCCCAAGATGACCTGTGGACAGTTATTGTTATTGTTAGAAAGAACTACTTCCATGGAGTTTCAGAGTGTTGTTTTCTAAAAGAACTGTAGTGTTGAATTTCAAGTAGAAATTGTGATGATATTCAAAAGAATATTCTAAGACGCTATGGCAAATGTCGTTATGTAAGAGTCATTGCCTGGTTTTTCTATAGATAAGGAAATTCAATGAAGAAAAAATGTTTTTATCAGTGCTCGTTTTTCTTTCTAATTGTTGTTGTTGTCAATATTCGTTAGGTCATGATTGATAGATGCTTGAGACCCCGGACACTTCCCTGTCGGTTACATACATAAATTAGAACGATTTGTTTTTTCTGTCATCCTAATTTCTAATTCTTCCCGCCAACACTCAATTTGTTGATATTTTTATCAATCAAAATGTATAAACTCTGTTTTAAATAAATATTGAATGTCAATATTAGTTTCAACCAACATATCGTACATGATCATGAAATTTGTATAAAATTACACTGCTGTCACAAAAATTAAATATTGATGGAACTCATTTGAAACTATGAGAAAATCTTTAATCTTGGTTACATATCAGAATATAAATCAAGTATTGGGAGAGCACATTTGAAGAAATTTTCATTTTTAGCTCTCCTGGAATTGCAGTGAGGTTAAGCTATTGTCCTTTGATTTTGATTTTTTAGTTTTTAATAACAGTATTGTTCAAATATTGATTTTAGGTGATAGGTAAGTTTGTTTTTATCCATCTATCTTTCTACAAAACTCCTTTTTTTTTTTTTTTTTTAATTCTCAAGTGTATTCTGGATTCAAATATTCAAATCAATCCTTCGTTTTTGTCGAGTATTTAAGATGGAGACAACTATCTAGAGAATTTTTTATATAAACAGAAACTCTAATTCAAAATTACTTATTTAAACGGTTAAAATTTTTTTTTACTCAAGTCAATTCTTTGGATAAAAAAGTCACTATTTAATCCAAAAGGATATTGGAAAACAAAATTTTCCTTATTGCAATGCAACCACCACAGTCCAAATGATCTGTTTAAACATACTTCTTTTGTTGCTTATTTATTGGTTTTATTCAATTTTAAAAGGTCAACATAAATTAATTTTAACCCGAAAAATTTTCTTTGTTTTATTTCATATCAGAACATAAGATTAAAGAAAAAAAGGGGCATAAAAAATGTTGTACTGACATTTGAAATTTAAAAAAAGGCTAATTAAACTGGGCCAGTAACAGATTAATCCATAGTACCATAAGCCTAGACTGGCGTAGGCATCACAAAGTCCAAATCAAACAGCATGCAGCAACCCATTCCAAATGAGCCTACCAGGCCGTAGAACTAGCCCAAATTCAACTCCTTTTCCTCATCTCCAGTTCTCAACTTGCCATGTTTCTACATTCTACTTTCTTCTTCATCAGCCAGACATTGAGGAAAAACACAACAAAGAATTTGAGCTAGCTTTACCTTGTACTCTCACACATTGCAACTGAATCGTTTCATGTTAGCTGATACTTGCTAATCTCTACATTTCCCTAAAACATGAACCCATCAAAACCTCTGATAAACCGAAACCAAACTTCCCTCATAATAAACCAAGTCCTCTCAGTAATGCTCCAAGACCGCCCATTTGACGCCAAACTCGCATCATCAACAACTAACCCAAATTTACTAACCGCCGATTCAGTCTCCGATATTCTCCGGTCAATACCCAGATTCTTCTTTCATTCCCCACGTTCAGTTGGCCGTCAAAACACAACTCGCCATCGCTCTCCTTTAAAACAACGTAATCTCAAAGAAGAAACCCATAAATCCCGCCACAATGTACTCATTCTTGGTCCAGCTGCTTACAGAGACGCCAAAAGGGTCGCTTTAGGTTTTAAGAAAGCAGTTGAGTTCTTTTATTGGCTTGAAACTCACTTCAGTTTTAAACACACTGAAATTACATGTAGAGAGATGGCCATTGTGTTGGCTAGAGGGAGTAAATTGGATGAATTATGGCAGTTTCTCAAAGAAATGGCTCAAAGAGAACATGGGAATTGTTTAGGCATTGTTAGTGTTAATACTGTTACCTGTTTGATAAAAGTCCTAGGAGAGGAAGGTTTGGTCAATCAAGCACTGGCTCTGTTTTATAGAATGAAGCAATATCATTTAAAACCGGATGTTTATGCGTATAATACCATTATTTTTGCGCTTTGTAAAGTTGGGAATTTTAAAAAGGCAAGATTTTTATTGGAACAAATGGAGTTACCGGGATTTAGATGCCCGCCTGATACTTATACTTATACTATATTGATTAGTTCTTGTTGCAAGTATGGTTTGCAAATTGGGTGTAGAAAGGCCATACGGAGGAGGATATGGGAAGCTAATCGTTTCTTTAGGATTATGTTGTTTAAGGGTTTTGTTCCTGATGTTGTCACTTATAATTGTTTGATAAATGGGTGCTGTAAGACTAATAGGATTGAGAGGGCTCTTGAGCTTTTTGAGGATATGAATAAAAGGGGTTGTGTGCCGAACCGTGTTACTTATAATTCTTTCATTAGGTATTTTAGCGTGGTAAATGAGATTGATAAGGCTGTTGAGATGTTAAGGAGGATGCAGAAGATGAATCATGGTTTGGCAACTACAAGTTCTTATACTCCGATTATTCATGCTTTGTGTGAAGGAGGAAGGGTGCTAGAGGCTCGAGTTTTTCTTGTTGAGTTGGTTGATGGGGGTTCTATACCCAGAGAGTATACATATAGGTTGGTTTGTGATGCATTGAAATCAGTGGGAGAGGGCAATTTACTCGGTAGTGATTTCGATAAGAGAATTAAAGATGGTATAGAAGATAGATATAGGGAAGTGAAGAATGTGAAACCAATTATGGCACGTAAGATGATGTTGTAGCATATGGGAGTTCCTACTTTGTAGATATTGGCTACTTGCTATGTTAAATGGAGCTCTTTACCAATTTAAGGTGCATCATCTGTGTGCTGGGAGATTTTTGTTATTTAAGGTCTCTGGCACTTGTATACGTACCTGGATAAAAGCATTGGATGCAAGTACTTCAAGGTAAATTGAAGGACCCGGCACACAGGGCAGGATAGGCTACCTTGTAACAACTTCATGCATCAAGCAGAATGGGAAAGGATACCTTTATCACATTGTTGGTGAGACACTACACTGATTATAAGTTCTTTCAGTATCTTCAGGAGCAAGTGGTTAGGTCATCTTCCATTGCAGCGAAATGAAAACCAATTTTATATACTTATCTTCTTTCAATAGGTTTGCTGTGGCACTAACTGTGGACTTCCACAATGGAGCAGAACCAATATCCAGGTGCATTATCCTATCTTTCTTAAAAGAATTACAGTGAAGCTGGCAATGCAATCAGTATATTGCTCTCTTTAGTAGCTGTAAAATGTATACTGCATCGGGCTAACTCTCTGTTTTGAGACCCGTCCATAGTTTTTGGACCAGCAGAGCTTTGAAGTCTTTTCTCTCTTTTTTTTCTTTTTGCCTCACAACTGAATCAGAAAGGTTTTGGTATAGCATGGCTGCTTTATTTTGTTTTTTCAATCATAGCATATTGAAGAAGTAACAAAAAATATTACGCAAAGAGGTTGAGAAAAGAAATTTCCTCTGCCATTGCATGTGCTTGATGATTTTCTATTTTTGTTCAAGAGGCAATTATTTGTTCCTTATGCCCTTGTTTTCTGTTTACTGCTTAAAAAAACAGACATTTCCAACAAGATAACTGAACATCAATAAATAAATGAAACTGCGTATTGACACTGTAAACGGAACAAAGGATGGTGTTCTTCCAATTTTTTGTTTCATCTTTTTTCCCTCTTACGCTGGACTATGATAATTCTCCAGCTGTGAATCAAAACGAAATTACTTGCTTGGCATGGAAGTTTGGGCTAATTACTTGATTGTTGTTTTAGCGGCTGGATTCTAATTGCCAGAGTAGTAATCTCAACTTAGTTTGCAGGTTGATCGTTTGAAATTTAGGGCCAGCCTAGCTATGGGTCGAGCTAACGTCGTTGAGACACTGATTTAATGATGCCTCATAGGGCTAATGCTGTGAAGAGAGCAATCAAACTGTCAGAAACAAGACTACCTTGTCTATATATAAAACATGTAACCAGCAGCACGACATACACCCTCTAACTACCATGACATGGCCCAGTGATAGCATCCACTGTTTGATTATTCAGCAATGGTCGGCACATCAACGCATTCTCTCTTTCTCTCTAATTTGTTTATTCTTCCACGCATGATCCTCATCATCCTTTACATGTTCTGTGGCAACTCCTCGGCGAATCATATGGTAAGTCTATTGCAATTTACTCTGAAAAAATGTTTAGGCACGTTTGCAGAATGTGTTCGAAGATGTGAAACTCGTGGCATCCTCAAGCGCCCACGGTATCCTTAGTATAATGTTCTGTCTACCTCAGTATCGCGTGTATTAAATCCATGATATGGGGTTTAAGGTTCAAACACATTATTCTAACTTGTACAGTTGCAATTATCCTAATGAAACTGAGATTTTCTGTTATTTAAAGTGGTTGGTTTGCAGAAACCATCAGCATGTCTCATTAGTTTTGAAAGCAACTGTAAGGCACACTTGTGGGGGCATTGAATTTAGACAGTGGTAGCATTCATATTGGTGCATGATGTGAGCTTGTATGACTAATTCACACTGTCATTATCGTATGATGGTAATTCTAATCCTAGCTTTAAAAGAATTAATATAACGAATTAAAAGGGAAAAAAAGAAATGGAACCTCTTTTGAAGTGTGTGTGGATAGGCTTGATTTAAATGGTGTGATGCTTCTGTCATTCTTTCTGCAAACGTACTATATATCGAAACAAGAAGTGATAGGTTTCTTAATTTTTAATATCGTTGATGAAACATATTAATGATCCATTTGTGGTTATCCTTTGAGCAATATTTCAGTGTAATTAACAGGGTGTTTCTATTGTGTTTTTGGTATGGGTTTGTTTTGTATTGAGTGAGATATTAATGTTTCATTAATTTTTAATTATTTTAATTATTTTATATCAAATAAATTGGTTCTATAATGTTAAAAAAAATATTCATAATAAATAATTTATATTATGTTGGAAAATGTATAGTTAATTTTTAATAAAAATAATGATTCAATAGTTTTTTATACGTCTTGATCATACCTAATGAAGTGAAATAAATTATTTGAAATAAAATTTTAACCTCTTAAAATAAAATAATTATATATTTGTATATATGCAACTATCATTTAAAAATTATAAGAATTCATGATATATATTATACCAATTTATTTTTTGAAAAAGAAAAAACAATCATGTATAAAAATTTTATTCTAAAATTCAAACATAAAGAAAAATAAATTATATTTATTAGTAAATAAAACTTTATATGAAAAATATTAATTGGATGAGAATTTTCATAAAAAATAATAAATTCAAAGAATAAAATTTAAATAATAAGAGTAATATAAGTCTGAAGTAGATGTTATTTTTATTACACACACACAATGTGAAAACGAAAGAAAAATGAAAGCTAAGGATTGAAAAAAATGTTACAACATGAGGAATGAAAATAAGAAAAAGTGTTAAATGTACATATCAATGCTTCAAAAACACGCAAAAGTTACTTAAATTTGCCATAAAGTAAATAATAATTTTATGCATATGAAAGTAAGTGAATAAGAATTTTAGGCACATATATGAACAGTTCGATTCTCATGCTACACCTTGAACCAAACTAAACATATTTGTTTCGGTTTGATAACGTATATTGTTGTTGGTTAATTAAAATATATTAAATTAAATATAAAAGATAAAATTTCATCCCATTTTATAATTTTTTATCAAAATTTTGTGTGTGTGTGTGTGTTTGTATTATGTTTTGAATAAATTTTGAAGCTAACAAAATATGATTTGTTTTTTTTTATGAATTTATTCTTAAATAAAAACCCATAATAAACAAATTTTAATATAATTTTTTTAAAAAAAGTCTTAATATTTTTTTTCATAACATTGCATCGAAGAAAAAAAATAACAATTAGTATTAAAACTTGCATGAAAATTAACAAATGAAGCTTTTTTCCCGATGACAAGATTATTATTTTAAATATGTACATTTAATTTATATATATTTATTTAAAAAATAATGAATAATATTAGTATCCAAAAATTGTATTTGAATTATTCGACGATTATTCTAAAATACTATTTCAATTATTTTATTTGAAAGAATTAATTTTAAAATATTAAAAAAATGATAGCAAATAGTTGGTATTAGATGCATAGCCGATTTCTAATAAAATCAATGAATTCAATATTATTATTTTTTATACATCATGACGAGTACTCATTGAATGAGAATATACAACATAAATTGAAAAATAGTTTAAAAAATTAAATTATAAAATATATATCGAAGTTAATAGAGTCCAATAAAAAATATAAAATCAATTTCGATAAAATTTGATTATATAAAGAATAATAAAATAAAAAATATATATTCTATTTTAAAAAATTTGGCTATATAAGAATGAAGCAAATAGAAACAGGTATAAAAAAACTTATTTGAATCCATACATAGAGAAAACAAGTCATATTTATTAATAAATGAAATTATACAAAAATAAGAATAAAAATTAACTTGATGTGAATTTTTATAATAAATCAAAAAGATCAACTTTAAACAATAGGAGTAGTATATATTTATTTTAAAATCTAAAAACATATCGTATATATTATATAATCATCGGTTTGTGTGGAAAAAAATAACGATTGACTTTTCAAAATTTTAACACTCAGTCAAACAAAATAAAAAAAGAACATAAATTGATGGAAAAAATCAAAGGAAAAAAAAGCATGTGTATTGCATCAATTAGGGAATTAAAATTTTTATTTTAAAATTCTAGGGATCAAAATAGAACAATTTAGAAATTATAAAAATGAAGGCGAATAGTGCTTTGCGATTAGGTGAATAATGAAACTTACTTGTTCAAGTAGTGAATAATGAAACTTACTGTTCAAGTATATATTATATAATCATCGGTTTGTGTAAAAAAAAATAACGATTGATTTTTTAAAATTTTAACACTCGGCTAAATAGAAAAAACATAAATTGATGAAAAAACCAAAGGAAAAAAAAAGCATATGTACTTCATCAATTAGAAGACTAAAATTTTTATTTTAACATTTTAGGGATCAAAATGAAACAATTTAAAAATTACAAAAAAAAAAAAGTGCATAGTGCTTTGTGAGGTGAAATTCACTATTCAAACACCCTATTTGTTTTAGTTATGTAGTAATATTTATTTTTCAGGTACTTTACACTTGGCAGTCAAATCATTGAAAATATAATTAAATATTTTTTACAAACAAATTAATATTAAATTAAACATCTTTAATAATGATCAAGGAACTAATTAATTAGTTTTAAAAACTAAAAGAAATATTTAATTTTTTTTTTGTAAAACTAGATGGACTAATTTACAACTTAGTTGGTTGGATAGAGGTCTGAATATAATTGTTAAAAAGAAAAAGTCATGGCGATTCGGGTGATTTAAGACTCGTTTGTTTGCGTAAAACAACTTTTAGAGGAAAATCAATTCTCGAAGAAGCTATTTTTCAGGAAATTATTTTTCAAAAAAAATATTTTTTGCTGTTTGGCAATTACATGAAAAAACTATTGAAAATATATTCCAGTGTTTGTTTGATGTAAAAAATTAAAATATAAAAACAATATATGATAATTACATCAACAAGTTTTCTTAGTTTTGAGAAAACTTCAAAAATGCATATTCATAATTTCACAATATAAGATCCATTTAGAAAAATTTAATAAATACTGACTCTAAAATTTTAATTCAAAAAATAAAATATAT